TCAGGGATGACTTTCTGCTAGTTTCCAGGGAAGAGGCACAACTTCTGGAGCGTGACACTGACTCACCTGCATGAAACAAACCTTCCTTCACAGAGGGGCACAGCAAATCTTCTTTGAGACAAATGTAGGGTTACTCATAAACTGTTTGCAGAACAGAGTCTTCCTTAGCTTTTAGTGAACCAAAAGTAGGAGGCAGCTCAAAGCATTAGGATTTTAATAATATAAAGTTGGGGCCTCTTGCTGTTTGCCTTTTGATTTTTGAGCCTTTAAGTTCATTTTCTCTAACTCTTCCCTTTGATCCCACTATATCAAAGGAAAGAGCTGAGATTCTGGTGGCTTGGAGCTGCTTCCAGGTGCTGTGTCAGCTTTGCAAAACACACCCAGCACTGAGAGAGACTCAGGAGTCCAACACAGAATCACATAAGGTTTCAACCTACCTGCTCTAAGCTAACATGCTGACACAGATATTGAGGGGGTGATGGAGGTGACCTTCCAAATACCAGTCTGAACCCCCAACAGGAAAATGAGCATCCTGAAGCTCCTGACATGTAGATCTGGACTCCATGTGCATGCTAACAGGTAAGTACCAAGGAGGCAAAGAGGTATGGTCAGCCAGCAGTGTGGTGGCAGCTGGAACAGGAGAGAGCAAAGCACCAGGGGTACCAGGACTGTAAGAGTGGCAGAAAAGAAAGTGTAAGTCCAAAAATGAGAGGACAGAGCCACAAAGAGGGATGAGATCAGAGACATGAATAGTGAGGAAGGGGTGAGAGAAGCATCTTAACCCCTGCAGATTGTTCCAGGGAGCTTGTGGGCTCAGGCTTCTCCTTTGGGAGGAGAAAGAAATTCAGAGAGAGGGTCAGAGGGAGAAGAGGGACCTGAGGAGGCATTTGCATTTGTGATGGGGAGCAGAGGAGATGCAGAGACAATTCAGGCCTCCTTCCTCTGCTTCTCTAGCAGTGTTTCCCATTTGCTCCTCATCCCCTTAGACCAGCGTGTGAGGCAAAGGGCTCTTCAGTGTCTGCACATGAGAAGCAAATAAGGAAAACAATCAGCCCAAGCTTTCAAGGTAGCAATATCTTCATGATCCCCAGGGAGTATCTCAGTACAGGGCCAAGTGCTATTCAGACAGATAAATGAGTAAATTACAGCTAAAGCAGCCACCTTCCTGCCTCTGCCCCACTAGATCCTCTGTTCAGTGGGAAACCATCCAGCTTGTAACTCACTTGGAGCCTTTGTTAAGGCTAGGGGTAAATGTCAGACCTCCTGAAAAATCATGACAGATCCCACATGTGAACCCATCCTTCCTTTCTCTGTTGAGAGGGTTGGAAAATGTATCTGCACTTGAAACATGCATCTGCCTGCACCTCTGTGAAATAATGGGACCTTTGTGTACTGTGTCTTGGTGACAGATCTTCCCCTCTCCCTCATTCTATCAGTCTCCTTATAGAATATGTATTTATATATATGGAGCCCCTCTGATGGTGTAAAGCTGCTCCACCCTGCTCCTGAGAGCACAGCACATCTGATCATGCTGCTTGTTACCTCTCAACATTCACTGGAGCTGCAAGGAATGACCTGTTCCAGCTACAGACCTCAGGGTTGAGCTGGGTTCCCAGATCCCCTTAGAGTCCAGGGAGTTCAGATCCAGATGAAAAGTCCATTGTGCAACCCAAAGACCTCCCCAATGCACTGGTGAAAATGCTCCCATACAGATACTGACCTGAAAAAGGCCAAGGGATATATTTTTTTTGGCAATATGAGGAAGCCTTTTCTTACAGCCAAGTTTATTATAACAACACTTTTTAGGTCTTTCAAGTTAAAGGATGCCTTGCTGAGCTGAGTCCAAACACCTCATTGCAGAACAACTTGAGGCATGACAAGACCAGGACTTGCTGAGACTGTTAGATCCACAATAGGACTGGGACAAACTGGAGGAATTTGCTTTATTATATTGGCTTCCATTCCCATTGAGATTGGTGACCAATGGAGCCAAGCCTGGAAAAACTGTTTTTTAGAAGAGCAGCTACACACCCCAAAACCCCACTTATCTCCAGGGTCCAGCCAGGTTTGAGCCCAGTAAATGGAAGGAGGAGAAACCTCCTCCTTTTCCAGGAATGGGATCAGCTCTGGTGCTTGCCTAGGTCAGGTCAAGCTATCACCCTCCTGTCCTTCATCTCCACAGACCTCACAATACCAAGAGACTTCTGTGGGCAATGAAAACCTCTGAGGAGTCAGAGCTTCATCCATTGCTGAAAAGACCTGTACAACATGGCTTGTACTGTGGGTGGGATCTATCCTCCTCAAGGGCAGCCTGCACTTCTTCTCCACACCATTCATTGTCCTGCCTCCAGCAAAGGTAAACCCCTTTGCTTGTTCTCAGGCATTGAGGCTCCACAACTGTTCATTCCTTGAAGCACTTAAAGTGTGTGATATTATGAGCACCCAGATAGTGACTGTGTTGCTGTGATGGCAACACTGCCAGCAGCCTTGCTTGCCACATCACAGATCAAATTAGGTGGGCAAAAACTTTTGGAGAGTTAAATGTTTCACAAAATTGGATCAGATTTTAAAGAATAACAGTCTGTGCCCTTTTCACTAACTTCTCTCATACTCTTGGGCTTAAAAGATGGGTGGGATGAGATAATGGAATGAATCACAGGGGACTCAGAGCTCCTGGGCTCTCTATGGGTCTCTGCCAAAAATCTGTGGCCCTAAAAAAAAAACCTGCTTAAATTTGTGTTTCAGAAGAGTCAGCCACAAAATGAGCCTGCTCACGTTGTAATGGTCAGGGGAGTGCAGGTAGTCAACAAACCAGCAAGAATATGTTCTTGGGAGTTTCTGCAGGAAAAAACAAATTGCTCCTTTTTTTTCCAGATTTCATTTTTTTAAGGAATTGTGTGAATGAACAGTGATGTCCCATTGAGAGAATGAAGGCAGCTCCTGGGTGCTTTGAGACCAGCCAGCCTAAGGGAGCCAAACGTCTTGCATCTGTAAATCTGAATGGCTTTATGGAGCCAGTGGTGGCATCTGAGGTGACCTGTTGCTGAATGGGCCTGCACAATAACATGGCCACTCTGGGCAAATCTGCCACCAGTGGATTGATTATTGGAATGTTGTCATGCTCAAGGGTTTTGACCATGTGTAAAGTTCCATTTTTGCTCAAATAAAATAGAAAGGAACCATGGAGTAAAAGGATAAGAAAGAGAAATGGTGCCTTAAGCAAAGGCACAAGCTCACAAGCATCATCTGCCTTTGGTTTCCCACCCCATCCCAACAGGTGTGTTCACTTCAGTGCTGGAGATGACAACTCAGTCTTTCCCAGCATGGAGCAGATGAGAAACAACTCCCAGCTCTGACATCACATCCTTTCTCCTGAGTTACCAACATTTCACAGCCTCTTTAATAAAGATGACTGCACAGAGTTGCTCCCCTTCCCACTCTGAGTTGCATGTATAAATATCCAAAGCTCAGGGAGGGTTTGGAGACATTGCAGAGGTACAAAACATTTAAAATAAAATTATTCAAGCAGAGGAGATGACAGTCATGGACTGGAAACTGTCACTCCCCAAATTTGCATGGGGAGAAGGATAGCCAGCCTGCCACTGCTGAGCTTCTGGACCACAACAACTCTGCTAAACATCTTCTCCAAAACCTGCCTTGTGGACCAGGAGAAAACTTCTCCTTCCTTAGGTAAAAACTATTAATTTCAGTGTTAGCCACAGCATGGAAAACAGTCACCTGAAGAGGATATGAGGAGGGTCTGGCAAATGAAGAGTAAATTATTATTCACCCTTAAAGAAAAATTATTCTTATTTTAAGGAAGGAATTAGTGGGTGGTCAAACTATCACAAGGGTGAGAAGAGGGGACATTGTGGCCCATCTCCATCCTGGAAACTGCTGCCTGTTGATCACTTTAGTGAAGTGCTGTCAGAGGGCTGGAGCACAACGTGCAACATCTAAGAGGGATCTTGATGTCAGGGCACAGGGTGATACCAGGAGGAAAACACATTGCTCTGAACATGCTGTGAGAATGTGTGTTCCCAAGCAAGGCGTCCTCCAGGTTGTTGGCAAAGGCAACAAGAAGCAATTTAAGGGGCTGGTTTGTGTTTGGTGCTACTTACATGCTCCAACGTGAGGTGGACAACACTTCCTCAATGAATCATGGAACACAAGTGCATGGGTGAACATGTCCCACTTGGACTGATGGTCTGCAGTTGAACTGAAGATGCACCTGCCATCACCCTGCCAAAATCCCTCATTGCTCCCTTCTGGCTGTGGATCTAAAGCTCCTACTAAGCACTCAGGAATTAAACAGTTACAATGTCTCAAGGCCCTCTGCGCCCACAAGATTAATTATGTACAATGAATTACTTTATGGGAAGTGATTTCTTCCTCCCACCCCAAGCAGCAAATTACCCAAGGCCAAGCACTCTGCTGAAATCAGCCAGACTTCCATGTGGAACACCCAGATTGGTTCTTCCCTGGAATCTAGCTGGTAGTACCTTCAATAATAATGCTAATAGCACATCAGGAAAGTCAAGCTAAACTTGGTCTGCACCCTGGCAGGCAGCATCCTACACTCTTGATCACCATGTCCCAGAGAGGTTCCAGCTTCTCCAAGTATTCCAGTTGGAATCAAGAAACCCAGTGTTACACTTATCCCTGTGTGTAGCAGATTTAGCCACAGTTTGAATGGGGGTGGAGAGCAATGTGGTCTGCAGCAGAAGTAGTAGCAACTCCTTGTCCTGTAGCCAGTAGGATGTGTACTGCAGAAAGCAAAGCTTGGGGTGGTTTCTGCTCCCTTAGTTCTCTGCTCCCCCAAAAAAAATCTACCAGTCTATAAATGCAATGGTTTCTAAGCACAAAAAATCATGAGATAAACAATGAAGCACATCTTGTAGTAACTATGATCATGACCAGAATTCATGTGCAGTTCTGATGTTCACACCATCATCAAGGTAAAAGCTTTCAAAGCACCACGGGGTGATGGAGTTTCTTACCTGCCTCTCAGACATGATGTAGAGGTGTTCATGATCCATTGAGAAGGCCATATCCCTGAGCACAGGGCCAGTATCCACCACCTGCACAATCTCATACTCTATTGTGTTCTTGCTGGTGCCATCCACACGGATCTGCAGGGCAAAAACAAAAGCAGGGAGAGAACATGAAGATTTTTGCCTCTGTCCATGGAGAATAATCATTGGAGAAATGTGTTATGGTCCAGTTTTTTTTGGATAACCACCAGACAAAGGGAACTCTTCCCCTTCCTCCTCTCTTAAAGGATAAACCAGGTTTAACTGCTTCTGCTGGTCCCACCAAACACAAAGACACTGAAGAACAACAACCCAGAGTCTGCCTGCTTTTATCTGGCACTAGTACTGTGTTAATGTCATTGTCTGGATAAATCTACCAAGCTGAAAATGATGGCACTAAGGACAGAGTTTGTGATCATGATGAGCTGAAGATAAAAAGCCACACAAGAGTCTGCAGGACTGACTCACTCAAGTGCTATTCAGACAATATTATTGTTCTTCTTGCTGACAGTCCATGAGGCAATATATTGCTGCAGAGTGTGCAATACAACACAGACTGTTTCTCTTGTTGATTACATATATCAGGTATTGAAATCAGTCCTGTACAAATGTGGCACCTTATTATTCCAGCCACATCTCATAACAGGAAGATGTCACTTGGGAACATCAATATCAGGAATGATGAGAAGGAAACTGATGTGCAGTCCCTCTCTATCCCTGACCATGATCCAGCAATACAGAGGAAAGTGCACAAAACACCACAGGTTTTTTTTACCTGTCTGAAAACAACTACTTGAGATTGGGTTCAAAAACAGCTGGAAAAGGTTTGCAATCCCTTTGAATACTATAATCACAATTCAGAATAACATAGCAATTCACAGGGGGGTCGGGTCCCTCTGGATCAGGTGATGCTCCAAATTTTAGCAAACCCAAGGCCATGAGTTTCACCCACTTTCTTTGCATCCAAGAGATGCATCCACTTTCCTTATCTCCCTTAAAGTGTTTCCAATGTGTTGCCTTTCACTTTCAGAAAATCTTCTGCCCTGCAGCAACACAAACCTTCTTTCCTAGAAGCAGCAAACTGTAGTTGATCTGCTTTGTGTACCACATTGAATCATAGAACAGCTTGGGTTGGAAAGGGCCTTAAAGATCACCCAGTTCCAATGTCCCTGCTATGGGGGGGGGCACCTTCCACTAGGCCAGGTTGCTCCAAGCCCTACCCAACCTGGCTGTGAACACTTCCAGGGATGGGGCAGCCACAGTTTCTCAGGACAATCTGTGCCATGTCTCACCACCCTCACAGCAGAGTTTCTTTCACAACACAATCTCCACACCTCCCTGACCGAAGGGTCCCAGTCCCTGCTCTGTACTTGTGTAGTTTGGTAGCTTAGTAAAAAGTACCCTTCCCACTCAAAGGAAATAACAAGCCATAGAGAATTGATGGTATCAAGACCCATTCCCAGTGTTCCCTGGCACAGTCCAGAGGCTTTTTCCTTCTGTATCAAACTTTCAGCCATGAAACTGAGCATGAATCATCTTCCATATTAGAAAGGCAAACAGAGAGGAGAAGAGGAAATGACAAAGGGTCTAGAAAGCCTGTATGAACAAAGGGCAGCAATTATATACAGATCCTGATCTTTGTCCTTCCTCAATCTCTCCACCTGCTATGTGACAAGAAAGACATATTATTCCCCCAGGAAAGACAGGGGAAATAAGGCAGAGAGGAGTCAGAGGGGGTCTCTGTGACAGCAAAGGGTGTGGAGGGTGTTCAGGGATGCTCAGGTCCTACACGTCATCCATCAACCTCTGCAGAAGTGGGTACACTTGCAGGCATTGGCTGTTGGGCTGCTCAGATGACACCAGAAGATTTGCAGTTTGTCATCTTGATGGATCTGGTGATGACAGGAACACACTCTGTAGCATCAACACACAAAGAGGTCAAGGCCTGAAGCCCAACTCTGAGCATCCATGCCTCTTGCTGGCTCTGACTGCCTGGGAGAAAAGGGATTGCTCATGTCCATGGTCCCTAGTGGGTGAATTCAGCTCCTCAGAGTCTCTTCTTGAAAGTGGACAGTGATGTGATTCACCCATCAGGTGAAGGGCAAAGGAACCAATAGGCTTAAAATGAGTTGTTCTGCTTAGGACAGTCAGAAGAAAGGAAGGAGACAGAAAAAGCTGCAGGCTGAGAGGTGCAGGAGTCTCTTGGCTCTGGCCAGGGCAGATCAAATGCCCCCACAGCAGGAGCCTTTCCTATTTCCTTTCCTATTTCCCACAGCCACTTTTCCAGCACCAAGTTCTGACTCTCAGGGAGCAGTTGCTGAGCTTTGTCTGCTGTTTCAGCTCTGCCTCACCCCCAGTCCCTCGAGGCTGCTCATCTCTGTCAGAGGCTGCAGAAGATCCTCGCTCTCCCTGCTGATGACTCTGCTAAACAAACCTTCTGCCTTTGCTGCTTTGACCTTGATTTTTCAGCATCATCGGGGTCAGATCTGTGGGCCACTAGAAATGTAAGCAGCCAATTATCACCCCAGGGCTCAGTCACTATCCTCAGCCTTTGCCAGGCCCCATTAGAGGGGAAAGAGCTCCAAGATGGAAGAGGCAGGCTGGAGAAATAGCTGGCTGGAGTTAACAAACCAGGCAGACAGGAGGCACAGTCCCCAGGGATCTGCTGGGTGCATGTGGTGCAGGTAAAAGATTGCAGAGGTTTCACACCAGGAAAACGGAGACACTCGGAAGTGATTTAACAGTTATTGCCAGCCTAATTGCCTGCAAAAATCATTATTTTGCTGAGAGGAGGAAGAAAAGAGCTCATTCCCTCCTACATGTGCAAATACACACACGTGCACTCAAATACACACAGCACAACTTCAAGTGCAGAAACCTCTCTCTCTTTTTAAAGCTAGTAGCTAAGGAGAAAGAAAATTCATGGTATCATAGAATCACAGATTGCTTTGGGTTGGGAGGGACCTGAAAGATCATCCAGTCCCAACTCCCCTGCCATGAGCAGGGACACCTCCCACTAGACCAGGTTGCTCCAAGCCCCATTCAACCTGGCCTTGAACATTTCCAGGGATGGGGCAGCCACAGCTTCTCTAGGCAACTTGTTCCAGTGTTTCACCACCCTCATAGTGAAGAATTTCCTCCTAATGTCTAATCAAAAGAAGGCCAGAAGGTCTAGCAGGTATTCACCCACATTGCACAAGCCCTAAACCGACAAAGAGGTGATTATAGTTGCTTGCAGCCAAAAGTCTGGCCCTTAACTCAAGCCATCCCTTTACCTGTCTTAAACTCTGACTTTCATATGTTCAACCCCAGGCACAGAGAACAGAGCACATTCTTCTCAGTCCTGAGCATCAAACAACATGACAGCAATTTCTCTGAGAGAGATTTATTTCTGCCTCCCAGTCACCCACTAGAACCAGGGCATCTGGGTTAGAAAAAAAAATAAAATTAAAAATAAAAAAAACCAAAGAGGACAAATGAGAAGATTCTCTCTGAAGTCTGCAAATTATCACCAGTAAAGTCAGGGAAACAGATACAATGTCTGCTCAGAAAGCTCCTCAAGTTGCCAATTGCAGGGAATTTGAAGCACACATCAGCAGTTTGCTCTGTTTCTATTCTTCTTTGCTGGCATCAGCCACAAACCCCCACAGGGTCAGGGTGCTGACATAGCTAGAGTGTTCTTCTGAATGGAGTATGGGGATTCTGATATTCAGGATGTAGGATAACAACCTGACTGACAGTCCAGTGGGGATTTCTCCTTGAAACTGCCTGTGGACCACAAGCATCTCTGAAGGCAAGAGGGAAGGGAGCAAGAAGTGATGGAAGGAAGGGACTCCAGGACCATACATGAATCTCAAAATGCTCACTCCACCACAACCATCCCTACCAGACACATCCACACTCCTCCACAAACATGTTTCTCACCTCCATCACAGGAATACCTGTTCTCACTGCCTGCATGTCTGTCCTGGACAGGCACGTGTTCCTTGGACCACAAGATGCTCTACTCAGGACTCCAAATTCCCCTGCTGTCCTTTAACTCATCTACAGAGCTCCTGGGGACCAAAGTGCTCTGGCTGCACATTAATCCCTCTTCCTGGAAGGCTGAGCTCACTGGGCTTCATTCTGCAAAGCTGGCTGCTATGAAAACATCAGTATGATGCTTTCCGAAGGTCAACTACCAGGGGACCTATTCTGGCAGCTGTTTGTTTGTTTGTCTGCACATTATCTAGGCCTGGCTGTTTATTTACATCCATTGAAGTATCAGGCAATAAATATCTTCTCCCAGTAGCAAACAGATGCTTGCACTCAAGTGCTCTGGCTAGTGCTGACTTAAAAACAATCTCCTTAATGAGCAAACAACACTATTAATCTTTAAAGACACAGACTCTGGCCTTCCCTGAGCTCCCACCCTGGCCATAGTTAGTGCTTTGGGCAACCTGGCAAGCAGCCCATGGGTCTTGTAGATGAAAGAAGGTAAAAGATACCTTCCATCACTTGGCTGGTTCTTTTCAGGATTATCTGGGTCGTCCCAGCTGCTCTGGGATCCACAGGAAGGTGATGCTTGAGCACAGTCTCCCAGGCAAGCTGGTGGCAGCTGCCTCAATCACACTTCTAAAAAGGAAGATGGGTTTTAGAGGTTGGGATCATATGGTTATTGAAGAGAGGGGCACAATAAAGCCCTCCAAATTATGGGTGTGGACTCAAAAGTGTCAAAGAAACAGCAGTGGGATTGGAGGACCAAGAATGAAGCAAGCAAGCACTTAGCCCCATTGCTGGAAGATGAACCATGAGAGTGAAAAAAGCAAACACCTTTAAGCTCACCAGAGCAACAGAAACACAGACTGGAGCATCAGTCCTGTGTCACGGCCTGAGAGGACCATGTTCCTCTGTTGTCATGTTAGGAATGGTCTCTTTTGGAAAGCTTCATTGTGCAGATGGTGAGGCTAGGTGAGAAAGCTGGGAGGTGGCCAACCACGACTCTTCCACTAAGCTGGATGGGGATGGTCTCTTTTGGAAAGCCTCATTGTGCAGATGGTGAGAAAGCTGGGAGGTGGCCAACCACGACAGCAGAAGAGCTTGGAAAAGCTCTCCAAAAG